TAGACTAGATGCCTCCGCAGGCCGGCAGGCGAGTGCAGTGGTGGGCTGGGCGCCCGGCCCCGTGTCCTTGTCTCCTGAGCTCTGGAGCCCGTGCCGCACATGCTCCGACAGCCCGTGGTGGCCCCGTCAGCCCAGCGCAGACCGCCGGCGCCTGGCTTCTCAGATCTGGAAGGTGCGGGGCCTGCGGGCCGTGCGGTACCGGCTGGCAGGGCTGGCTGCTCTGTGCTCTAGGGAGCAGCGGGTCTGCACAGAACAGCGAGCCCACACGTCCCCTCCACCCAGCGCGTGGGAGACACTTGCCCTCTGCGTCTCCCACGTACAGTGCCCCCCCGTCGCGTGTGCACATGCGCGGCCGCGTCAAGTCACCGTCTGTGCTTCCACAGGTGACTTCCCGAGGACAGGAACGGCCCCCTGTACAGCCGTGGTGGCCGGGCCACCTCCAAGCGAAAGCAGGGGTTCAGAAGCGCCCTGATACGCGCTGGCTCCCACCGGCTGTCCCGAGACTCCCCTTGTCAGCGCCCCGGACGACATTGTCGTTCAGGACGAGCAGCACTTGGAGAGGTTACCACCGGGGAGGGAGGAGGTGTCCCAGAGGGGGTCACACGAGAGTTTTGTGCTGTGATGAGCACATTTCTTCAGGTGAGGGGCGGGGCGGTCTTTTCTGCGGTACCGTTCGTAGCCTCTCCTGCATTTGATTTTATTTAAGGAAGTTCAAGGGCATTTGGGCTGTAATGGTGACCAACCAAGAACTGGGCTGTTCTGATGAAAGCTCATTAGTGTGGAGCTTTCCGGAGACCTGCGTGGGTCCGAGCCCTGTGCGTCCGCCCGCTCCAGGCTGTGCGTTTGGTGCGGCCCGCACACTCGCCTCGCCACCCTCCTTTGAAGTGCAGCCCTTGAGAGGCCGGCGTAGGCTGTAGAAGGCCCCCTTCCGCCTCGCCCCGAGTTCTGAGGAGCGGCCGCTCCCCACACGGACACCCTGCCTCGGTCTCCCAGCATCATCCTGCGCGCTTGGGCAGAGTGGCTCTGACCAGGGTCACCGATCTGCGTGTCAAGGACAGACATTTTTATTTTAATCATGGCAGAAAACAGGCTTTTCGTTTTTACCTTAATAGGCGCCTACTTTATTGCTGCTCACTTTCTTCTTCTGAAAGCTTTTATTGTTCCACTGCTCTGTGACCAGTGTTCAGATTTTGTCCCCTCCCGTGGCTCTGTTTCAGAAGGGCCAGTTCTGGGTGTCCTGGACATCTTCACACTCCAGACCTGAACTCCCGTCTTGCCACACGCCAGCTTCTCCTTCTGGCTTCCGTCACTCAGGAGGCTGGCAGCCCCGTCCTCCCCGTCACCCACCCGGAGGTCTTAAAACCGTGCCTGACTGTCCAGCTTTGTGACGTCCCAGGCCGCTGGTTCACCACGCCCCGCCGTTTCACCCCAGATGCTGCTCAGCGTTCCTGTCGCGTCTGCGCGGCTGCCACCGTCGGCCGGGCCGAGGCCCTCGCTGTCAGGCTTGCAGCTGTCCCCACCACCCCCCTCCCCGTCTCAGACCAGAAGCCAGCCGGACGCGTGTGCCCCTTGGTCACGGTGCTCCTCTGTCGTTTGTCTGGAGCAGAGGTGGCTTGCGGCTGTCCATCACCGCTTCGTCCTTTGCACGGGCTGCAGTGACAGTGTCCATGGGCACCACAGTTGCCACAGAGACCAGCTGGCTGGCAGAACCTAGCGTCATTTCTGATTGGACCTTTCCGGAAACAGTCTGCCAGGCCCGGGCCGAGGCTGAAGGAAGCACCTCGCCTGAGCGATGCTCAAGCTGCACGTGTGCGGTTTTCCCGTGTCCGTCTCACACTCCCTGGGGAACGCGGCAGAACCCAAGGGCCGTTCCTGCCCAAGAAGAGCCTTTCCCTCTGGAGAGATGGGAAGTCCTGGAGGCAGCGTTTAGGGTTTTGTTTGTTATGTGCTATTCATTTAATAAGAAAAACTCATGAGTTCTCTCGAATCTTCGCTCTCCCTGGACGGATGGCACGGTCCTTTCTAAACCCTTGTGTTGTTGGAGCTCGCCCTGGCCCTGCCGAGCGCTGGCTGGCTGAGTGTGCCCCGCAGTGGGACCAGAGCCACCTGTCCTCCAGGCCGATCTTGAGAGCAGGGTGCGGACTGTCCCAGTGGCCTCCTCCTCGGCAGCAAGGCATGAGGCCACGCAAGTCTGCGTCGCCCCCAGGGAACTCAGCGGCCCCTCCCGCCCATAGCCCAGGGCTGGAACCTCTCTGTGTCTCGCTATTTCTGGGAAAAGCCTAAGGACCGCCGCCTTCTTCCCCTGCATTCACTCCCCGGGTCGCTGGCAATGACGGGTTTTGGCTTCCTTGTCTGTCAGAGGAATAGATTGTCTTCTTCCGGTTCTGTGACCACTGTGGAGCCTTGTTCTTCTTCGAGCTGTTAGCCTAGGCACCCCTGCTCCCCAACTCAGCCTTCTGCCTGAGCTACATACAGTGTTTTCATACCCACCCTTGGCAAACGCAGTTTTCGAGATAGCCTTTTAATTTAGGTTCTTTGAAGTATTATGATACGTTCCAGGTTAAAAGTAGAATTCTATCAAATAACTACTGATGGCATCTCTCTGTTTCCCTAAAATACAGAGGATCGCGTAGCAAAAGACACATTCAGATCACCGCCACGGCCACACCAGGGCCTGGCCAGGTGCTGAGGGAGACCGGCGCTGACATTGAAGGCCGCTCTGCAGAAGAACTGGTTTGCAGAGCGTGTGTTCTAGGGCCGCTTGCTGTCGACGTATTCTGACATTGAAAATATTCACTGTTTTTGTGAGCGGTCAAATCTGTGTCATTTCTCCTATGGTTTCTTTGCTTTTAAATATAAAATGTTCTCATTTTTAAAGTGTTGAATACTCCTTTTCGCTTACCGATTTAAAATGCCGACCTTTGACATGTGACCTTTGACAGATCCTTTGGCATTTCTGGGCCCCTTCTGTCCAGTTGGCGTGTTTGTGCCCCCAATGGGGCATTCGGCGCCTACGACTGCCACAGTGACCTAGAGCCGCGCTCACTGGGGACACTGTCATGGCTCCCTCATCCAGGAGCACATGGTCATCCTCGCGGACTCATCCACCACCGGGGCCACCCGAGGCTGCGTGGGCTCCGCCCGCTTCCCCTAGGCCGCCCCGCGGTCCTCTGTGGCCGCCCCGGCCAGATCTTTCTTTCCACGGCCTTCTCGTTGCTCCTGGTCAGCAGGGACACTGCTGGGCGTTACGCAGTGGCCTCCTTTATGTCTTCCCTGCCCGCTCCAGCTCACCCCGGGTGCTGTTTCCTCAGCCAGTACTTGCAGCACGTCGGCGAGTACTGTCGACGGCAAGCGTCCCCATCTTTTTCCTGTTGTTATGGCAACGCTTCTGGCGTTGCGTTGTTGCATCCCACGTCCCTTTCTTTGTTTTCACTCGGGTGGTTTTGTCTAACGTTCTCGGTCTCGTTCTTAATTTTTTTTTTCGGCAGGGCGTGCACACGGGAGAGCAAACCGTAGCAACAGGGATGCTGGCGCTGCGGCCCACGCGGAGGCGACGCTGGTGCCTGCGTCGTTTTGGATCTGGAGGAAACCAGACGGATTTGGGACTTGCCGATGTTTGGGATTGGCAGCGCAAAGGAGGGGGCAAGGCCAAATCTCAGGTTTTAGGAGACTCACGGGGAGGAGGAGAAGTCAAGAAGCGGGATTATTCTTTCTTCCTTCGGGAGGAGGCGTCGCGGCGTCTGCCAGTGTCCGGGGGTCTTCGCAAGACCCCGTGACAAAAGTGCACATGAAGCAGGCGGGCCGCGGTGTGGGAGGCGTTGCTGGTTGGGTGGGGGCCGGCGTGTTGACTCGTTTTGCCCGGGAGACGGCTGACTTCCTGGCGCCCTATGCCCTGGGGAAAACTCTCTTCGTGGGCACTGGAGGCGACACACTCTGTCAGCATGGGAAGATGGTCCTTAGGGTGTGGAAATCAGTCACTTCCGGAAGTTTAAGGCGCGTGCGTCTCGTGACCGTGCCCACGGCGCTGGCCTCTGTCCTCCCGCCGCCCGTGCCCATGCATCCCCTTTAGCTGCCGGCGCACCGTGCTGAGAAGCCAGCGTGCCACGGGCCCGAGGGCTGTGCCAGCCGCCCCCGACCGCAAGCCACACCGACCCGCGCAGGCCGGCTCGTTAGGCTGAGTCAGGACTCGAGCACGTGTGTCACTTACAAGCGCCGCACGTGATTCTGTCTGCGGCTCGGCCCCTGCGAGGAGCGTCCAGCCTCCAGCCCCATAAACGAGCGAGAAGCACCAGCCCTGCCAGCCCTGCCGGCCCCGAAAGGCCGAGGCGCCCGTCTGTGGCCATGCGGGCTCCAGCACCAGCCATCGACGCGTAGCCCGTCCTCCTGTGGTCTCCAGCCGGGCAGCCGGCTGTCTTTCTGTTGTCTTCTGGTGACTGCGGCTGTGTAGGTGAACCTTTGCGAAGGGCACTGGCACCGGAACGTTCGCACCTGTGTGCAGCGTTTCCGGTCAGGCGCGAGCGCAGTGGGCGGGGCTGTGATGGGAACGGCGTTTTCGTTCCGGGACTTGCTGCAGCCCCAGAAACGGCCGCGTGGAAAAGCTGTTCGGAGGGAGGGTGGGAATGGCTCCTGGGTCGCTCCTCCGACTCCCCCTGGGCCTGCCCCCTGTCCCCGTGCAGCCTGAGCTGGGGTCGCTCCCTGTGGGCTGTGCACTGTGCACTGTGCCGCGCGGCCCTTCCTGACCCCGGCGTCCCTTCACTGGCTGCTGGGGGAGAGGTTCCGTCAGCAGGCACCGACCAGGGGTCTCTCCTGGGCCCCTGGGACGTGGCAAGCAAGGCGCGGAGGAGCTCCTGCCTATGGGGGTGCTCACGGGGTGTGGGGGTGCCCGGGACGCCAGCACACTGCCCGGTATCATACCGCGTCCCTGCCGAGGAGCCCCATGCGTTTGTCACAGTCATCGTTTGTTCAAACACTTCGTAAAACCATGTTCTTTTTTATTCTAGACGTAAACCACAATAATTCCGGATCCCATTATGAGAATTCGCAGCGGGGCCCTGTGTCTTCTACGAGTGACTCTAGCACAAACTGTAAGAACGCTATTGTGAACAACGCCCCCGGAGAAGCAGCATGGCCCTCGGTCCCAGGCGCGGACCCAGAGCCGGCTTCAGAGTGTGTGGGTGCTGATTCTGCCTCCGGCTCCGAGTCAGAGAGACACCCCGCCACCATGGCCTCGGGGCGTGCGGGTGAGAGGGACGGCCTCCGGGACAGCCCCGGGCTGGGCCCCCAGAACAAGTTCGTGGTGGCCGGCGGTGGCAGCACTGCGCCCTGGGGGTTCTCCCACGGAGCCGTCATAAGCACATGTCAGGTCCCCGCGGACGCTCCCGCCAGCAGGTCGGAAAGCGGCAGCAAGGCAGTGACTGCTTGGGGCGCGGGGAGCCCTTCATCAAATGGAGGGCCGGGTCCGAGCACTTTGCACCCAGCTAGCAACCACGGTGCCTGGCCAGTGCTGGAGAGCAATGGCCTTGCCCCGAGGGGGCCTGGGGCGGGCGGTGCTGGCGGCGGCGGCCAGTGCAGCCCTGCGGGCCAGGCGCCCGGCAGCCAGAGTGTCAGCTCGAAAGCGGGGGCCTCTTCGACCCCGGGGGCCTGGGGAAGCCTTCAGGAGACTTGTGACTCTGAAGTCAGTGGTACACAGAAGGCTTCGTTCAGTGGCCAACCTCAGACTATCGCCACTGAAACGGCCGGACCAAATAACACTACTCACTTCGCAACGTCTAGTTTACCGAGCTCCGGTCCAGCCCAGAGCGGCGAGCCACCCAGCAGCGCGGGGGCCCGGCGTGCGGGCACGGGGCCTCACCCTCAGACCCCGGCCCCGCCCGCCCTGCACGGCCCCTCCCTGCCTCAGCTCAGCAATGGAGAGCCCCAGGGCGGGGGTTCGCACGGTACTACGTGGGGCGCCTACGGGGCCAGCTACTCTGGAGACACGCGCGCGAGCCCCAACGGCCAAGCTAACGGTGACACTGTGAACGCAACTCTAATGCCGCCCGGCACCAACGGGCCGGTGGGCGCCAACTTCCAAGGCAACACAAGCAAGAGGGGCGGCGCGTGGGAGCCCGGGGCCGCGCATTCCCAGAGCGCGTCGTGGGCAAGCGGGAACGGGCCTGGTTCTGGAGGCGGCCGGAGAGGCTGGGCGGCTCCCGTGCAGGGCACAGGCGCCGACCCAGCCGGCGTGGAGTGGGGCCAGCTGCCGGGCACTCAGCATTCCAGTGACAGCACGAGCAGCGGTGCTCAGCGGTTTACGAACGGATGGAAGTCTGCCGAGGAGGAGGGCCAGGGCTCCGCCCCGCCTCAGCCAAGCGAGCAGAGCGGCGTGTGGGCCAAAGCGGGAGGAGCAGGGGACAGTGACGGGAGCGCGGAAAGCACCGGGCGCCCGGAGGACAGAGCGCCCGGGGACAGTCAGAGCCGAGAGCGGAGGAAGGTCGACCCGCACACGCTGCTGCAGAGCATCGTGAACAGGGCCGACCTGGACCCGCGCGTCCTGTCCAACTCCGGCTGGGGGCAGACGCCCATCAAGCAGAACACTGCCTGGGACACTGAGATGTCGCCGAGGGGCGGGAGAAAGGCCGACCGCGGGACAGAGGCCTGGGGGGGCTCCGCAGCACAGACGTTCAACTCAGGGCCGTGCGCCGACAAGACGAGCCCCGGTGGCCACGATTCCACATCCGGATCGGGGTGGGGCGAGCCCAGACCCCCTCTGAGGTGGGGGGACGCCAAAGGCTCCGACTGCCAGGGTGGGTGGGAGGACGATTCTGTGGCTACGGGGACGGTCAGGAGCGGTCAGTGGGGGCCTCGCAAGGAGGAGACGTCTGCGTGGGGCGACTTGCAAAAGAGCAAGCAGGGCTGGGGCGACGGGCAGAAGTCACAGCAGGGGTGGCCTGCCCCCGCCGGGGACGACTGGGGGGAGACGGCCAGGAGCGACCACTGGGGGGAGGCCAATAAGACATCGAGCTCAGGCGGCAGCGACAGCGACAGGTCCATCTCCGGTTGGAACGAACTCGGCAGAGCCAGTTCTTTCACTTGGGGAAATAACTTAAACCCCAACAACTCGTCAGGGTGGGGCGAGTCCTCCAAACCCAGTGCCCCCCAGGGCTGGACTGACCCTGCAAAGGCCGGTCAGACTCTGGGCTGGGGCGAGGCCAAGCCTGCCAGCTCCCCAGACTGGAACAAGCAGCAGGACGGCGTCGGGTCCTGGGGCGCCACGCCGGCCCCGGGCAAGCCCCCCGGCTCTGGCTGGCGGGGAGGGCCCATGCCGGTGTCCGCCGGGCCGGAGCCCACGGGCTGGGAGGAGCCGTCCCCAGAGTCCATCCGGCGCAAGATGGGGATCGATGACGGCACCTCGGCCTGGGGGGACCCCAGCACGTACAACTGCCGGGGCGTCAGCATGTGGGGCCGCAGCGCCCCCGGCGGCCGGCCAGACCAGCAAGCACAAGGCCATCAGCTGCTGCCACCCACAAGTGCCGTCTCCAACCCAGAGGCCGGCAGCTCCGGTAAGTCGTTACTGTGGGGTCTGCTGGTGTCGGCGCACGTCACAGGATGCGGGCCTCCTTCCAGGTGGCTTCTGTCCCCCGGTGTGCTGGACAGGGTGTCCAGCGTGCACCCCGAGGCCTGCCCCTCCCATCCAGGGGGAGCTTGCGGGGAAAGGGGCCCCCGACTCCCTTCGGTGAGGAAGCCACAGGAGGCCCTGCTGCAAAGTGCTGTCACGTGGGGGTGCCACACTTCTCGGGGCTTCTGCCTCGGGCCGTGACTCCGCTCTCGCGGCTGTACAGAAGCACCCTGAAATGGAGCGAGATCTGGGGACCGGGCTGGCCCGTTGGTGTCGAGTCCAGCGAGTGTGTGCACCTAGAGCACTCAGCAGCACCTTCCGGGCCCCACCCCGTAACGGGGAGCCGCGTCTGCTCTGCAGGTCACCCTGGCTGCGCATTCGCTCAGCGTCATGGGAACCCACGGTCCCTGTCACCTGGATGCAGGCGTGGGTTTTTTCCCGGATGTAGTTGACCTTGTTAAGTTACGTCTGATTCCTCGAGGCAGCCGCCGTGTGTCTGAGGGGCGGGCGTCTGGGTTCTCGGGCACGGTGCGCATCCTGGCGCCCTGGCTCAGAGGAGCGCTGTCCCGCACGCATGGAGGGAGGCAGTGCTCGCCTGCCGCTGGTCCTGTGCTTCATGCCGCTGCCGGGACCGCATTACGGCGAAAGCTCTACGCGCACGTCGTCACCCAGCCGGTCCCCTGCCGTAGTGCACTGCGCTTGGCTCGGCGGCTTGGCTTGCCGGGACTTGGCTTCATCTTCAGAGGAGGGCGACGTGCGCGTCAGGCTATTCAGAGGGGCCGGTCCCAGGGGAGGGGTGCTCGCGCGTGCTGTTTAGATGGCGGCAGCGAGACGCTGCTCCTCGAAACGGGCGCGTCCGTCCTCGGCAGCACAGAGACCGTGGAGCTCCCTCTGCCCGCGGGGCCCCTCGTCGCCACCCGCCGTGTGCTGACGACTCCTTTTCCCACACTCTGCAGGCTGGGGCGAGCCCTGGGCGGAGCCCCCCACGCCAGCCACCACTGTGGATAACGGCACTTCTGCGTGGGGCAGGCCCGTGGACAGTGGCCCCAGCTGGGGGGACCCCGTTGCCGCAGCATCCAGCACACCCGCGTGGGGCTCCAGCTCCGCTGCTCCGCAAGGCCTCGGCAAGCCCGGTAAGTCACGGGCACCCCCGGGAGCCCTCGTGGCACTGGGCGTCTCTCGTCATCGCTGAGTAACCGGACGACGTCGGCGCCGCCATTGCTCGGGTCCCCACGTGTTGTCTCGTGGGTGCTTCTCGCCATCTAGGTCCTGCCACCTGTGACACGGTTCTTTTTTTATCTTTCTGAATTTCCCTCTCTTTCTCGTTTTCCTTGGAACTGTAACTACTAGTGATTTGCATATACTTCAGCAAATCTAAATTATATTTTGCCAAATTAGATTATCTGGAAATAGCCAAGCACCTTTCAGGCTTTCCAACACGAGAGACTGAATGTGACAGCCACAGGGGCACGTACCCAAACTGGCTGGCTCAGGCTCCAGGGGACCCCCTAAACGTTATAGAGAATGAGCACAGTTCAAGGGGGCGCCTAACGCTCAGGCAGATGATGTCACGGCCTCACGGGCTGCGTGCGAGACACCGCACGGGACTTGCGAAGGCCGAGCGGAGAGAAGGGGGCTTGCTGCTTGTGACTGGCACCGCTCCTTGGCCACCCTCCTTGAAAACGTACCTCAAAACGACCTCTCCCGAATCCCACGCGCTCTGCACCCCGTGCATCGCCCTGCAGGCAGCAGCACCACCGCCGCCCCACCTGGCGCGCGCAGCCCGGGAGATGTTCGGTGGCACGTTAACAGGAATAGCTCCTGCTTAGTGGGCTGACTCGGCGTGCGGCGTCTGCTCCTGCCCTGCGAATCTGGGAAACAGAAGTGGGCGTCTCGGCCGCCCCCTCGCCCTGCCCCCAGTGCACGCGCGTCCTCCAGAAGGAATTGTTTTTGTTCGAGTGTTTTTCTTTTTATCACAAATCCACGCTCAGGGCCCAAATCTATGCAAGATGGCTGGTGTGGCGACGACATGCCGCTGCCCGCAAGCCGCCCCCCAGGCTGGGAGGAGGAGGAGGACGTGGAGATTGGGATGTGGACTGGTAACTCATCTCAAGAGCTTAACTCATCTTTGAACTGGCCGCCGTACACTAAGAAGATGTCGTCCAAGGTAAACATTGCAGGGGAAGAGCCCTTGGAACTTAGGGCTCCACAGGTAGTCCGCCCACAGGAAGCGGGGCCCTTCCCGGTCCTGCCCGCACGGCCCTCAGCACCTGAGGCTGAGCCCCCTGTGTGGGACATGAGACATGGAGCTTCCTGTCTCCCCACCTCTCCCGCCGGGGCTTCCTCTCCCTCCCTGCACCGGGGCTGCCTGGGGTGCCCCTGCCGGGGCGTCTGGGTGAGAAGAAGATGGGACAGTCCCCACGTTGACTCCCTCCGCCCACTGCCCCTTCACAACCCACTCCACCTGCTCACCCCGAGTCCCGACCTCTCCTGTGCCCAGTCACCCTCCTCCACCCACCTTCTCTGTCCCTTCCCCGTCCCAAAAGGCCCTGTGCCAAACACCCCTAGGAACGCACCGGGCTCGGTTTTGTGTCTGTGTGGACAGCCTCGTTCCCAGCCCTGGCCACACATCGGAACCACGGCGTTTGTAACAAGGGCGGCCGCCCGCACCCCAGGCCTCCCGGGGCTCCTGCCACAGAGCCAGTGTGACAGCCGCAGGCCTAGCGCGTGGGCTTCCTCACAGGTGGTGCCGGATGCTGGGGTCTGGTCCTCCTGAGCACCGTTTTCCAGCGCGGGCCCCATCCCCCAGGTCGTTCCGACACAGCCCCACCCGGTTTGAGAGGGCCTAGGCATCGAGTGGCCAGCGGCTCACCTAGCCCCCTGCCAGTGTCCCTTTTAATCCTGGGATTCTAAGCCTGGCGCCTCCCGTTTTTATTTTTAAAATGTTTCCATTTTGCTGAAGTTGCCTAATGCCTCACCATCCATGGTGTCTCGTATGTCACGTGAGATTTGGTCCTTGTGACCGTCGGAGGTGGAAGCCTGGTGGACCTGAGCCTGGAGGAAGCGGGGTCCTGCCAGCCGCCTGGCCAGTTGGCGACAGCAGGACTTCCGCTCACCTTGCAGCCCGGCCCCGTGCCCCTCCCACCGACTGTGCGGTGATGTGACTTTGTCTTTTCTTGCAGGGTCTGAGTGGCAAGAAAAGGAGGCGGGAAAGGGTACGTAGCCTCTTCATTCTCCCCCTTTGTCCCCCCGCGGGCACGGCCCACTCTGCTGGGGGCCAGGCGCTGCGCTCAGTGCTGGGGCTCAAGGGACCCTCAGCGGGAGGCAGGAGCACCTCGGGCCCAGCGTCTGGAACAGGGCACGAGGGGCTCCAGGCAGCATCAGCGTGAGTGCGGGACACGCCTGGGCGGGGTATGCTCAGGAGGGTAGAAGCCCGATGGAACCAAAGTGTAGAATTCCTGGAAAGAAATGGCGGGCATGGCCCTGCACTGCCCACCCAAGCCCCCAGCCAGCTCAGAGCCGGAGGGGCCCCAGCTTCAGCACCGCGGGGCTCTGTGCTCTCGGTAGCGCAAACTGACCGTTCAGAACACATCACCCTATAGACACACGGTGTTCTCCTGTGCAGAGCACACAGTGTCACTCAGTTGTGGGTTAAGCTGGTTTCCCGGGACTAACCTGAGAACCTAGTGGCTATGTTTACTGTGTTTGGTGTGAGGCTCCCACAAAGCCACATCGTAACCAACCACTCCAAACACAGCCCTTGCTGGTGGGCTGCCGAGGCCCTGCGCCTGCCCCCCCGTGCCGATGGCCCCGCGCACCCTGGCCGTGCCAGGGGACCGGGGCAAGGAGTGGAAACCGCGTCATCGGTGTTTGATCGCTAGCGGCTCTGTTAAGAGCTGGTCGGAGGAGAAACTGGCTAAACGTGAGGGCTGGGAATTGTCTCAGAGCGTATCAGTCTGTCGCACGCCCACGTGAACAGAGGCGGCCACGGCGTTTTCCGCTCTTTTCCTTCGCGAAGGGGGTGATGAAGGGCGGCAGCAAGCAGGAGGACGCGTGGATGACCCCGTTCGTCAAGCAGTTCTCCAGCGTCGGTTTCTCGGTGAGCGAGTTTCCCGGCAGCCCCCCCCCCCACCGAACGCCGGTCTGCGGATCTTCCCTAATCTCATTTTTTTTTTTGTTTTCTTAGCAAATTATCTTTGAGTCCTTAGGAATAAGCTTGACATTGGAATAAGACTGCCCATAAAGTCTTTGTTTTTATGGTTTGAGCTGTAAACATGATCACGTAGCCTAACTGAGAAAGAACATTCTCGTTAGGCAGGGACAGATGATCTTCTGTGACCCTCTTCAGTTTCACCAGTCGTGGCACATAAAGCCATTTTCATTTTTTGTTTTCGTCGATAAGCTGAGGTCTGCTAACGTGCTGCTTTTTCTCAACTTCAGAGAGACTCGCCAGAAGAAAACACACAGAGCAATAAGACGGACCTTTCCGGAGGTGAGAAGGGACGAGGTCAGCTTGGGCTCGCGTTCACCCTTGGACAGCCGTGTCTGACACGGCCTGCTGGAAGGACACTGGCCTTAGACTGGGAGGGGCCCTGGGTTCCTGCTGCAGTCTACCTGTCAGGTGCCAGTCACTGCAGAGCTCGCCACCATGACGCCACCACCGGCTGCAGTAGAGCCCTGTGAGGAACGACCTGGCCAGGTCTGGGGTGCAGCCTCAGCTCGGGGACCGGTGTGCGCGAAGGCCCAGGTACGGGGCGGCCGTGCGGAGCCATACTGGAGAAGCGGCAGGTGGTTCCAGGTAGTGGCATGGGGAGGAGCTGGTCCTGATGGTGGCGATGTGGCGATGGGGGAGGTGGCCGAGGCGAGGCTGCCCGACCCGGGAGACACTGTGTCGCATGGAGCTTGGGGCGGGGACTTCATCCTGAAAGCGTGCGGTTAGCGGATTCTCAGCGGGAGAGTGACACGGCTGGGATTTATGTCTCAGGAAAACAGTTTTGGCTATAGTTGGAAGGCAGCTGAGGACAGACAAAGGCACCAAACACAGCAGGCCCATGAGATAGAGACCAGCTGCCGCATTGGGCAAGGCCCGTAGGAGCACCACACTGGGACCGGGCGGGAGGCGCTAGCCCAGTGGGGTGCGGGGCTTCGGGTCAAGGGAAGGTTGAACTAGCTTGTCCGGGGTGCAGCGAGTGTCATACGGGGCTGGCCTTTCTGCCTGGGCCGGTCAGAGCCAGAGTGGCAGCTTGGAGCCAGCCGCTCAGGAGCTGGAGCAGGGCAAGTGCAGTGTCAAGGTCAGAGTCAGGACGGTCGGCCTGTCAGAGGGAAGGGGAAGGGTGAGGATTCCAGAGAGCACAGGAAGGGCAGACAGTGGGGGCCAGTGCTCGCCTCAGGCCCGCAGCACCCCCAGGGGACCAGGCTGGGGCAGCTCCCGCTCCCTCTGCTGACCCCTCTGCGGACGGCTCAGGGCTACCGGGCAGAGGAGAGACACAGCAAGGACTTCAGGAAGCCAGCCACACTTCTAAACTGTGCCTGCTCTAAGAGTCCTTTGTTAAAGATTTCTCCTCTCCCGCTTGCTCGCCCCAGCGGCGGTGGGGAGGGGGAGTGTTGGCTGGTGGCGGCAGCAGGCGTCCTCAGGAAGGACAGCGGTTGCAGAGGACAGGTGGGCTGGGGAGGTGGAGGGCGCAGCTTCAGGGCTGTGTGGCGGGGAGGATGGAGCTGCCACCTCGATCCCCGCGAGGGAGGGAGCTGGGGGAGGGCCTGGTCTCCCCGTGCATTCAGGGGCTACGCGTATTCGCAGGCAATAAGACGTGGGACTGAGTGCAGGAGGGAAGTCAAAGACTTGTCTGTGAGGCGCAGCGCGTGGGAGTGACCGCAGACGCCTTGCTAGGGGAGCACGTGTGGAGGAGGGGGTGTCACTCATTCAGCCTCTCGAAGTTTGGGCTCAGTAAGCTTAGGAATACCCCAGCATCGAGGAAACATGAAGAGGCCAGCTCAGCTAGGGGCCAGAATGGGCATCGGTCAGCGCAGGGGCAGAGAGCAGCGTCCCCGGCAGAGACTCGCTGGGGGCGGGGGTGGGTAGCTCGCGGGCCGGCTATTTTAAGCAGCGGAGACTTTGCAGGCCGGGGCTTTCCGTGAGGGGTCGTGTTTGTTGCAGAGAAGCCAGACGAGGGGCCCGGCGTCCGGCTTCCCCGTCTGCTGGCAGAGGACAGCAGTTACAGGCGTCACGCCCGGCACAAGCGTCCGGGCAGCGCTGGGGATGCAGGAGCTCTTACGGGGTGGCGGTGTGTCATGCTGCTGCTTTTCTGGTATTGGAAACTGTGCTCTCATGAACTGAGCAGAAGAGAGATGACCAGAGCTGTGTTCACCTTCCGTTTGCTAGTCTGTTTCAAGTTAACCGATCGGGGGCAACAGCGGTGTCTGCCAAACGCACCTGTACTCAGGATGAGTGCGAGGCTTGCCAGAGGCCGGAGCGTCCCCATTCCCACGTCCTTGCGGGGCAGACGTCACTCCCGTTTGGGAGCATTTTCTTTGCACTGCAATGTGTCTGAAAGCAAGCCCTTCGTGCTGACAGTGCGGTGTCCTGCATTTATTAGGGATGCTACAGGACAAACGGGTGGAGATAGACAAGCACGGCCTGAACATCGGCGATTACAACCGCGCGGTCGGCAAAGGCTCCGGCCCTCGGCCTCAGGCCCCCAAAGACGCCCCCGTGGAGCGCAGCCCTTACTTCGACAAGGTGAGTGGCTGGGCCCGTCTCGCCCGTGCGGCCGACCCGCCGTGCTCGGCCGCACACCTGCTCATCAGCGCGTCAGGGTGCTTAGCGCACAGTCGCAGCCAGCGCCACGTTCTCCTGCCACGTCTCTGCTTCCTTGTCCTTTCGTGTCTCCGTGGAGCGTGGGGATTGCGTTTCCGTGTTCCTCCTGATCCCGCAAAATGTGTTCGGTTCTCTTCACGCACTCTAGAATTAACACTAATCCGACCTCTTCTGTTTTCTGCCTGTGTCCTGTCGGTGCCGGAATGTCCTGTGACTTCTCTCTGTCCTGCCCGGCTCTCCCCCCACCCCCGCACCTGTCTGCTTGGTCTGCACACCTGTCTGTCCGTCCCATCAGGACAGCGCTGTGGCAGATGAGCCCCCGAGCTTGCCGTTTCTGTCCGGTCCGAGCGTGAAGCTCCCGCCTCCCAGTAGCGCAGTGCCCGGGCAGGCCCTTGGCCCCGTAGCGGGGCTGGGCACGCAGACCTTGGGCTCTGTCAGACAGGTGAGTGCGTGCGCTCTGCCGAGTGGCGGCAGCAGCAGTGAGGGCTCTCGTGCGCGTGCCGCGGCGCCGAGCCCGGCGGCCGGACCTGACAGCGCCCGGCTGTGTGTCTCTGCAGAACAGCAGCCCCGGCGTGTTCGGAGCGGGAGGCGCAGCAGCACAGGCCCGGGGCCTGCAGCAGCCGCCAGCACCGCCCCTCAGCTCGTCGCAGCCCGGCCTCCGTGCTCAAGTGCCTCCTCCATTACTCTCCCCTCAGGTAGTGCCCCCTGTGCCGGGAGAGGAGCTGGGACGCTCCATGCGGGGCGTGGTCCCTGCTGGGTCGTCAGCGCTCTGATCGGCCACGTGGAGAGGCAGCCGACTCAGAAGACGCTGTCATCACAGAAGGGTGTGGTCAGGGAAGAAAGTGAGACAGGTGGAACAAGTCCACCCTGGTCGTCCAGGGACCGTCTTGACAGTGGCAAAGTAAATTTGCCGATTTAAGAGTCATCTGTCGTCTTTTACGTCACCCATGCGCGTGTGTGAACAGTGAGTTAGGAAAACCAAGAAAGGCGTCAGAAGGTCTGTGACCCAGTGGCCCACGGGTTTTGATTGCACCCTCGGTCACTTAGAACATGCAGCACCTTGCGCCGGTCTGGCTTTACCCGCGTCATTAACTCACCGTTGTGGCCCTAAGGTTCCCGTCTCGTTGCTGAAGTACGCGCCCAGCGGCAGTGGCCTCAGTCCGCTCTTCGGCCCCCAACAGGCGGCCATGCTGAACCAGCTGTCCCAACTGAGCCAGCTTTCCCAGCTCTCCCAGCTGCAGGTGAGCAGAGCGGCCGCCGCCGCCGCCGCCAGCGTCCGTCTGGTGAGCGGCCGCGTGCTCACCACAGCCCTGCGGGGCACGGCCCCGGCCTGCGCGGAGCTCAGCTCACAGGCTGTCCGCGAGGACCACCCTCCAGGGGCTGGGCTGCGAGGCTGCGGGGCAGCGTCCCCATAAAGTGGGAGCTGACTCCAGACAGACTACTCGGTTCCGCGGGAGGGTGGGAGGCGGGGCCTCTGCAGGGCCAGCCGCACACTGCTCGGGACGTGCCGGTCCGTGGCGCGTGGTGTTGACCACCGCCCTGCATCCCCCAGCGGTTGTTAGCCCAGCAGCAGAGGGTGCAGACTCAGAGAAGCGTGCCTTCTGGGAGCCGGCAGCAGCCAGACCAGCAGGTGGGTCTCCCCTTCCCCGCATGATGCGCTGCCTCCCTAAGCCCTGTGGGACGCGCTGTTTGCGTCTCTGTCTGCCCAGAGCCGCGCTGACCGGCCATGTAGACTGGCGCCCTTCCTGCGGACGGGCGAGAGCTGGGAAACCAGGAGGGGTGTCTGGGTGCCAGTGAAGACCCCGCCGTTTCTCTCAATCGTGTTGTCGTTTTAAGGGTCGACCTCTCAGTGTGCAGCAGCAGATGATGCAGCAGTCTCGCCAGCTCGACCCGAGCCTGTTGGTGAAGCCGCCGCCGCCGTGCCAGCCGCCGGCCGTGAAGCCCTTCCTGGACGCCGCCGCGCCCCACAGCGCGCCCGAGCTGCACAAAGGGCCCTCGCCGGGCAGCGCTTTCAGCAGCTTCCCCATAGGTACGTTTCCGTGGGGCCCCAGTGGCGTGCGCACGCCGCCAGCTGGCACCCTGGTGAGAGCCGCACGGAGCCGGCCGCTGTCCCCCAGGGCAGCCCGTCCCCACGGTTCAGGGGCGTGCTCCATGCTCCACTTGGAGCACACGCTCAGTCGGAAGTGTGCGAGAAGGCAGGCAGTGCTCGTCAGGCCTGGCACCCTAACGTGGGGTGTGGGGCAGGGGGCACTGGAGTGCTTACAGGCAGCGGCACACCAGAGGGACACGGGACGCTGCCTCGGGAGCACTGGGAATGGTGCCGTTTGCACTTGTCACCACCCGGACGGACGTTGGACTGCTGTCCGAGTCGCCTTAACGAGGCTGGAGTAAATGCAGGGTCTGGAGTGGCAGAAGGGACCGCTCCGTCACTCCCACGGTGGCTCCCCCGCCCCTCGTCTCATGTGTCCCCAGACCTGCGTCCCTCTGCAGCCGTCAGGCTCGTGTGTCCCTTTCCTCGGGTCCCTTCTCCCTCTGCGCCTTGGACGGACTAGGACCGGGATTCTTCACGTCCTGTTTATTTGCCTTTTGTCTCGTTCCGCTTACGACGGCTTCTCGTAAAGCAGCTTCATTGGTCACCGGCCCAGCTGGGTCAAAGCAGTTAATCACCTGCACGCTCGGGGCTGCGGGACCCGCCGGGCCTGCTGGTGCCCTGCAGCTGCTCCCCACTGGCCAGACAAGTCCTAGGCTGTCAGCCACGGCCGTGCATCCCAGAAGCGGTTTCCCGTCAGCCGCCATTGCGGGTAGATGCCCCAGGGGCCGCCCAGGTGGCCAGGCACCCCAGAGACAGCAGTGTGCAGAAGCAGTCAGGCCACCCAAGTCTATGGAGAGGCCTCGGGCTCAGCGGGGAGGGGGACCAACCCCACTATGAACGTGACGTGTGCCGCGGGCCCGTGAAGAAACACTTTCCAGTACACGATCCTATCCCGGCTGGCCGCACGGCCAAAGATGCCTTTTCCTCATTGAAACGTCTGCTCGAGCTATGCACATGTCAGTCTGGCTCTCCAGGCACGTGTTGGCCAGCTGCAGCCGGATGCCCAGACTGGCCAGCCGCCAGGTTTTGTAAACAGTTTTCTTGGACACGCTCCCTTGTCAGCACGTTTCTGTGGCCGCGCGTGTGCTGCAGCAGCAGGATGCGGAGATGCTGAGACTGTGTGGCCCGCAGCCTGAGGTCTTTATCCTCTGAGCCTTCACGGGAAAGATCGCCAGCTCTTGGCTGTGAGTGCTGGGCGCAGGGCAGGGCCGCAGGGGAGCCGCCATCTCCGAAGATGGAGCCGGCCCAGGGGCACGTGGGCGCTCGCCACCAGACCCAGGGATTCCAGACCGTTCCTTGTGGAACTTTAGAGTGAGAGCCACCTGGATGTGTGCTTAGGATTCTGGCCCCCGCTGGAAAGCGCTCATCTTCAACGAGCGTATCATATTACTCTCACGCTGGTTGCCCTGGACCACGCTTTGAGAAACGGGGTTGACGGTCAGATTTCTGACAGCACTGAAGATCGACATTTCCGTCCTCGTCCCATGAGAATGTCTAGGTCTGATGTGTGTCAGCCAAGTTCAAGTACATTGCGCCTTGGGCTATGGGGGTTTTGCCCTGAGACACCACTGTTGGAAGCAGGACAGTGTCACTTATAAGTGACAGCATCCTCTGGCTCATCAGCCAATCGAGATTCGTTCCGTTGACAAGCAGAAGACGGCAGCCCAGACCCCCATGTGCTCCCTGCACATGGCGCCGTGCGCTCGGGGCCCGCTCGTTACACACAAACTTAGAAGCTTGATTTGGTTTCCTTAAAATACTTTTTATTTTGCCAAGGAATTTCTCAGTCATCAGAGTGACGTGGAGAAGTTGTTTCCCACTGTTGACGGTGTCGCGGAGTTACGTTCCCTGTCATCGCCGAGCGTGTCACTCCCCGGGAACCTGCCTCTCCTCCTGACACTGCCCCTGAAGGGCCTGGGCCAGGAGCCCAGGGTGTCGTCCGTGGTCCCTGGGCTCCGCCACACCTACAGGATGATGCTTAATGATGGGACATTAGGCACGATTGCAAGCTTTAGTCGGTTACGCATGTTTTTCTAGGAAGTGCAAGTTGTACCAGGAGAAAAATGTGCTGTATTTTAATGACTTGTTTAATTTGTATTTTTAAGGCTTGAACTCAAACTTGAATGTAAACATGGACGTGAACAGTATTAAAGAACCCCAGTCACGACTGAGGAAGTGGACGACAGTGGACAGCATTTCTGCAAACACGTCTTTGGATCAAAACTCCAGCAAACATGGTATAAGGTGTATTCTTACATTTTGCCTTAAAAACAAAACTTGTCCAATACCATCTTTCTGTTAATGGCTTTGACTGATCTGGTCATTTTCTGTGAGGGAAGCATGTGCTGTCTGGTCCTGTGACTGCATTGGGCCCAGGACAGTGTCCTTGTGGCTCATGGTGGCATAGCGTGCGTGAGGACCCTTTGCTCCTCACTGCCATCGTTGGCCTGTGTCACCAGCGGGTGGCTCACTGGCTCTGAGGAGTGTCCTCCACTCACACCCGTCCTCCTGTGAGCAGTGCCCATCCCGCTTCCAGATGCCATGCGTCGGCCGCGTCGCGTCTCCCTGCTGCCAGGCTCCCCGTCCATTCCCCCCGCCGAAGATCCGACGACACCACGTCTCTTTGTAAAACCGCTCTGTGTCGGGACTGCTCGTAGGGTCGTCCCGAGGCCTGTGTGGGGGTGCTGCGGAGGCTGGGACCCTTGGGGACAGCCAGGCCCAGGCTGCTCCGGAGAGCTGGGGCCCTGGGCAGCCAAGTGCACACACCTCCGACCTTCGACCCCAGGCGTTAAAGACGAAAGCGGCTTGGTCCTCCCTGCCCTCACTGTCGTTCAGACGAGGAGGTCCCCCGGCCCTCGGCTGTGCCGGCCGGCTCTGCCCACGGCTCCCCAGCAGGCTGGAGCCCCTGCGCCCCGGCCTCCGCACGCACCCCCACCGCCGTCGCTGTTCTGTCAGACACACTGTCGTTACGGGCAGGGACCCCGTCCCCGCTCAGTGCTCCACGTCCGGCCTGTCCCAGTGACAGATGCCGTGCTCTGCCCGTGCGAGGCACTGCCCATGCGAGGCACTGCCCGCTCAGCCCCGCTGGGGCGGTGTGGAGAACGCGTCACAGTGCGGGCGACCGCTTCTCAGGAGTGTAAGCCCGTTTCTGCGGGCTCGCACACTCACTCTGGAGACAGATGTCGTGCCCGGCGCTGTGTGGTCACAGGGCTGGTCAGAGGCCTTCACCGTTCCGCTTGCCGCTCTGGTGGTAGAGCAATCTCTGGGCCTCCCAGCATCCCTCTTGGGCCCGCCAGGGGCTCTGGGCCCCCCCACAGGGGCTCTGGTTCCTTGCTGACCCCTTGTTGACCCCACAGAGGGTGGACGGTGCTCGCTCTCAGTTTTGGCCACAGCACAGGTGACAGCTTCCAAAGTGCGGTCGTAGGCGAGGGCGAGTAGGTCTGCTCCCGTCACGCCCGCAGCCGCCATGGCGCGTCCCGCGGCTCTG